GGCTGTTCCTAAAGTTTGTTTGCTCAGAACTTTTTTATTCTTTCATAACCCTACATTTATTTTTGCAGTTTCTAATAGTAAATTTAGTTTAGAAACTTTTATTACTCTTAGATAATATTCATAAAAATCACCGTTTTCGTGTTAAATCCAAAAATGTTGGGTTCCGATTTCAATAGTGCTATTACTAAAAAAAAGAAATGTAAGTTTTTGAACATCCTTTAGTATTTTTTATTACTTGTCTTGTTATTTTATGTACTTTTTTTATTATTCCTGTTAGTGTTGTTGGTTTTTTGTTTATTTTTTGTTGATTTTTAATTTATTGTTTTTGGATTCTTTTATTAAACCAACTAAAACAAATTAAAAATGTGATTTAGCTAAATCTACACTTGGACATGTTGCATACATAATAGTTATGACAGCTCAGTTCGATTTTCACTTGTCATTGCCAATTCAGATTATTTATTTATTTAATTTTTTTAGTGTTATGGAATTCGGAGCCTAACATTTTTGCATTTAATACGAAAACGGTGGTTTTTATCAATATTCTCTAAGAGTGATAAAAGTTTCTAAACTAAATTTACTATCAAAAACTGCAAAAATAAATGTAGGGTTATGATAGAATAAAAAAGTTCTGTGCAAACAAACTTTAGGAACAGCCTCTATAGCATTGTTCCCGCGTACCGATCCAACTCAAAAATTGTCTAATGATTTTACGTGATATTAGTTTACACTGTACCAAATTTCAACGCTTTATCATAAATAGTGTTTAAGATATTTAGAAAAATGTGTTAAAATTTCCTAACTTTGATGATCTGTATATTAGCAAATTGAGGATTTTTACTAATTTTTTTTTTACATGAATCGTGATCATTTTCACTCTAGTACATGTGGTTACATTTGTTCCCTGAGTCACCGAAACACCTTGTATATAATTCAAATAAACATAGCAACATTTGTTTGTATTCAAAAATGTTCTGAAGTGTCAAATTAAAAATCCTGTTTTTTAAGATGGATCATGAAAATTACCAAAAGTTTAACATCTTAGAATGTTACATATTAGAAAATAAAGTAAATTTTATATAAATTTTTAGTAGAAATTTTTTTTAGTTGGTAAATTTAATTTCTTTGACGACGCTAAAAAAAAGTTTATTTTTAGCTTTATTCTAAAACAATAAGAAATAGACCTATCTGGCCCCATATTTTTGTAATCAGAAAAAAATAACGAATTTAATAAGCGAATAATCAGTGGTTGTTTCCATTTAAAAAAATGAAAATTGTCATAATATCTCAAAATCTAAAACCGAACATTTTTTTTCACTGCTAAAAATTCTCTGTAAAAAAGTGTCCATATAATGTCTTAGTTATAATACTCCACCTATAATAATAACCAAGATAATTGCACTTGTTGGTTTTACGATATTTTCAGTTTTGGCCTCTAGGGGAAAAACAAAAGACGATAGCGCTTTGAGGTTTTCGGCATTAGCAGTTTCTCGAAAAACGAGATCGTGGCATGTAAGCTACTTTTTTTCTAACTCTTATAGTTTCCGAGTTAGCCTATTCGGACATCGAATTTGAACCACCCTGTACATGGTGTATTTTAATGGTATAAACTTACCTTCTTCAATCTGACGTTTTCAGTACTTAAAACTTCTTCTTAAAAGGTATCTAAACAAGTTAGATTAATACTCAGTATTGTTCGCTATAATAATAAACTTTTTGTTGAATTAGATTTACTGAAGCCTTAAGAAAAATTTCCTATACCTGAAAATCTTACATTTTGTCATTGATTTTTTACTTTTGTCCAGCCAGAATCGGGATTCAGCCCAGTGTGCACCGCAATGCATTTAGGACCGCTTTTATATTGGCGCTATTATCCGAAACTACTATTAAAAGTTTGTTTTCTATTTTCCATATAGCAATGACTCTATTTAACTCATTTTCTAAATTTGAAGCTGTATGTTGAACGGGCAAATTAGAACGCCCAAATTATCGTTCATATCATAAATTATATTTTATTAATGTTTTTAATAAATTTAAAATTCTGTTTGTAGGTTGAACATGTAATCAGAGAAGCGACAAGTCTTGATAATTTGGCCCTATTGTACGAGGGGTGGACACCATGGGTTTGAACGGCGACGAACGAAAAGCAGTTACCCTGCCTGGATCTCTCTCTTGAGTAACAAAACGCATCAAATAAAAGGGCGTCCGTGTGCAAACAAAAAATAAATAAATAAAAGGGCGCGCCACGAAGCGAACAGCAGCGTCTCCGTCGTCTATAACTTTACTAGTTGTTGGAACCCAGTCGCTTAGTTTTATTGCTGTTGCAAGAATAATTACAACTCTACCTGTTACAATTACAACTGTCGCAATTGCTGTAGCATGTATCCCAAAAAATATCCAACAAATCTCTTAAAAAAGAAAAAAAATTGAAAAACTAATTAAAAAAAAAATAAATAAATGGAAGGAAATTATGGATGGGATGAAGTAAGTACTTATTAAGAAGGGGGGGGGGGTTTGTATTTTTTTTGGTGATTAATAATAATAATAATTTTAAAAAATGGGAATCAGCAAATTTTTGCAATGTCAATAAAACTATTCCACTTGCTGATGCCGTATAAACACGTAAAGTTAATGCTGCTTTTAATTTTTAATTGTCGGAGTGGACAAGGAGTAACCGCGTAAAAAGCGGTTCGTTACCCGTAAAAATGTATGTGGGGGAAAACATCTATCAAGTTTTTTTCATAATCATATCCATAACTTTTTTTGATACATTTTTGTTTATAATTTTTGTTATGATTTCAATCGATCCATCATAACTTTTTCAGTCCAATAGATAAATAGAACAGGAAGTATGATGTATGAAAATAATACAGTAGACGAGTTAAAAAAAATCTTTAAATTAAAATTAAAACCATCACATAAATTTCACATATTATTTCTTTTTGTTTCTCTTAATATGCAGCAGCCTATAACAATTTATAAAAATTCAGCCATACACGACAAAATTACCATTGTAAAGCAGTTATTATTTTCTTTTATTTTAGTGTTAACCTATGTCTATTCCATAAAAAAATATTACTCCTTATTTCCTAGAATATTTTTATCTTTTATTTAACAACGGTCTATTGTTTGTAATAACTATTAAAAAACGGATACAACAAGAGGAGAATAGCGGTAAAATTCTTTAGGATGGAACAAGTTTTTTCATTTTCAGCGGGCAAATGGATGGTAATAAGAATTTGTAGTGTTGATGGTGAATGTAAAATGATTTTCTTGCCCCTTTTTAATATCTAATTGGATTCTATTACACTATTCTTTCTTGTAGTAGTTGGTATTAAATATAGGATTTTCTGTCAAATGTTATTGTTTTATTCTCTGAACACTTAATTCAAAGTACATTTTATCACCTTTATCCTAACTGATAATGTCAAATATGATTAAATAAATTTTTAGGGGGAGATTTTAATAATTTCAGAAAAATTTGCGGTACAGTATCTTAGAAATATTTATTTATTTATCCCAAGTGGGTACAGAAACAGGTCGAACCCAATAATACTGTACGACAAACAACCAGTTTTATACAAGTTAAATTACAGTTCATAATAATTAATTAATAATAATGCATTGGCACCGCCATTGGTTCTAGGATAGAAAATCAAAGCAAAGTAATCTCTGATGAACATATAGAACCGACAAGATTAAATGCGCTCAATTCTAGACTCGAATCGTTCAACGACACTGCAAAAGTTGAGTATGTTTTAGACTTAAAATATGGTAAAAATTTAAAAGAACTCTCTCAGTTTTTTAATAAATATACTTAGGACCATCAGCTAAATCATTACTCCATTTTAACCTGTAGTGTCGTTCAGTGTCGTCCACTTTACATCTTTATTTTCCGTCGTTTTAGTTTTTTAAATCATTTTATATTGTGACTTTTATTATTTTTTGACTATTTAGCTGATGATGATAAGTATTTGTCGAAACAGGTCCTAAGTATATTTATTAAAAAACTGAGAAAGAGTTTTTTTAAAAAATTTGTACCATTTTATTTTAAATCATACACCTCAGTGATTATGGATTTTTTAGAATAAGTTTTAGACATTAGCAAAATAGAGAGTTCTAATTGCATCAATGTTAGAAAAAGCTACGGTTTTGGAGACAACAGTATCAATATGTTTATCAAATAATAATTTGCAATCAAATGTAACACCCAAATCTCTAATAAATGAGACACGTGGCAAGTTCTAACCAGCGACGCTATAATTGTAGTGGATTGTGTTTTACCCTCCTACAACAAAAAACATGAAGATTATTTAAATCAGATTGCAATCTAGAACAATCAACAGGTGAGGAGATACGGAAAAAAAGTTTTAAATCGTCAGCATTAGTGATGGAACGGAACGGATAGTGATTTTGCGAAAAGCCGGATACCAGATATTCGGCATCCCCTTCGGCCGGATATCCGGTTACCCGGTATATCTATCCGGCCATTATGGTTATAACTTCTGGTACATTTCTGAAGTGATACCCTATATTGCCACATTATTGCGATATTTGAATAAAAATGAAATTAATAAGAAAGCTGATAAGATATATCAACTTATTTGGATTCAAGATACAAAATGAACTTTTTGATGCTGATTTAACTAACGAAGCAACTCTAAAAAGAGGATATTTTAATTAATAATTGGTGATATTTCCACAATGATCCTTGAAGAAATAAATTTTATAGCGAATTTTGAAAATTATCGATGAAAATTGCAACATCGAAAATTTTATCAAAACTTCAAATATTGTTTTTTTAAAAACTAAAAGTTATTTTTCAAAACAGGTTGGTTCATTGGAAAGAGGACACTTTTATTAACATTTTGGGAAATTTTCATACTCATATTCCTAGAAATGGATTTTATACGAATATTTAAAACTTAATCGGCGAAAATTGCAAAATTCGAAAAAATTATCGATCATTTCAAAAATTTATTTCTCAAAAACTAAAAGCGATTTTTCAAAACGGCTTGTTGCATTAAAAAGAGGATACTTTAATTAATAATTGGTGATATTTCCACAAGGATCCTTCAAGAAAT